TGTCTGTGTTTGCAGGTGTCCAGTGTGAGGTGCAGCTGGTGGAGTCTGGGGGAGGCTTGGTCCAGCCTGGGGGGTCCCTGACACTCTCCTGTGCAGCCTCCGGATTCACCTTCAGTAGCTACTGGATGAGCTGGGTCCGCCAGGCTCCAGGGAAGGGGCTGGAGTGGGTCTCAACCATTAGTCATACTGGTGGTAGCACATACTACGCAGACGCCCTGAAGGGCCGGTTCACCATCTCCAGAGACAACAGCAAGAACACGCTGTCTCTGCAAATGAACAGTCTGCGAACCGAGGACACGGCCGTGTACTACTGTGCGAGAGACACAGTGAGGGGACATCAGTGTGAGCCCAGACACAAACCTCCTCCGGGGGCGTGTGCGGCCAGCAGGGGGCTCATCCCCAGCGCCTGAGCAGGTGCAGAGGGAAGCTGAGGTTTCCTTCCAGACCTTGCTGTTTCCTGTCTCTGCCTGTTCTTAGTCGTTCTCAGGACTGCTGGTGGACTTTCCCTGCAATGGCCTGGTTTCTTTCATCTACAATTGGATGATTTCTGACCTGATTTTGATATAAACTTAAGCATTATTTTTTTTCAGTTATCTGCTGTGGATAATTTTCAGTAATATCTTTGCAGTAAGGAAACATGCACACTACACCCTAGTGTCACGGAGGGTGTTGTGTTTCCTATGCTGTGTTGGTCATTCAGGAGCAAACTCTTCTGTGCAGAGACGACTCTGTATGTGCTGGGGCTTTGTTTGGCCCCTGCCGTTTCCCTGCCTTGTGTGGGGAAGAACCGTCATTTCGGTGTGTCCTCCCGTCCGCCTGGCTCCTGGTCGTCCACCCTCAGACGGTTCCTCCTCCTCACTGTTCTGCCAAATCTCCTGGTCTCCCTGGACATCTAGACACAATGGGCACCAGGTCCCTTAGTCTCTCCCTCACGCCTGGTGAATCAGCTCCTTTTCCTCATTCGCACTGAAGCCAGACGTGTTCCTGCAGCTGACCATAATCCCCTCTACACCCTGGGCTGGGTGGCAACACCCACCTCTGGCTGTTGTCTCAGGAGTGGAGGACTAACGCCCACCCCGTCCACCTGCTTCTCCTGGTGTGGCAGAGTGAGCACCGTCTGCTCTCCCTGGGGCTGCACACTGTGGGCTGGTCACCAGGAGCTCATCTCTATGCACCTGTGCCCTGCGGATAGACTTGGTTGTATCCTGTCAGCCAGGTGCAGGGCTCCTGCCGGGGTGAGGGGTTGGACCAAGTGCCCAGCCTTAGAGTCTCCTGCAGCCCAGGCTGTGAGATCTATGGGTAAGCCCTGGTGTTTAGAAAGGTTGATATTGTCATGGGAAATAAACAAACACGGAGCTTACAACTCAATTCTATGGTACTTTCCAATCCCATCTTTGACACGGATCGAATTTCCATTCAGTTTTTAACAAAAAGGTGTGTATAAATATACTCGTTTATTGGGGTTCCAATCGATGGACATGCACATAGAAGAACAAGATTGAAATGAATATCTCATGCTATAAATAGAACTGAATTTAATTCAGTTAATTGAAAATCATAACACAGAGGAAATGGGTGTCCTGTGAGTGGACGTAAGCGTTAGTTCTCGCATATGCACAAGTGTGTATCAGTAGTAGGGTGTACGTTTGTGTGTGTGTTTGTTTTCTCCTGCTTGAAATTGCTCTTACATTCCTGGATCTGTGATTTTACATCTGTTGTTATGTTTAGAACATTTGTGAACATATCTGCTCATTTATTTCTACTTTTGGGATTCCAATCACATTTATATGACACTATTTGATACTGATGTTCTTTTGTCTTCATGATTCCTTTCCTTTGCATTTTGCTTGTATAGTTCCTTGCACCTATTTTCAACTCCATGATTTCTTTTGAAAGACGAGAGAAACCAGCTCATTTGTTTGTCCAAGTCCTGTTTGTACTGAGTTCTTCTTCAATACTGTACGCATTTCCACTTCGCTCTTCCTGAAAATCCTTACTTTTCTACCTAAGTTAATTACCTTGTTTTCTAGTATAATTATGTTCCCATTAATATTTTAACACATTAATCATAAATAGTCCCTTTGTACTTCCTAATTAAGACAGTTCTGATATCTGTCATTTATGAATCTCATTCTCATAATTTCTCCATTATGACTTTGGTTTTCAATTTGGGACACCCTATAATGTTTCATGTTATCCAAACATATTTGCTTTGATGGTTACCCTTGACTTATCATTTCATTTTATGTATTTTCCTCCCTCTAAATGTGCACACGTGATGCTGTCCAGGCCTGTGCTGAGGAAGTCTGTGTGAGTCTAGTCAGACTTGCATTTGGAATTCATTGTTGAAGTGGCTCCAAGTGTTGAAGGTTTTCTCTGCTATGAGCACAGAAGGGCTCAGACACCTCCACTGAAGCGCAGTGTGTGTTTCCTGCCTGGCTTTCTGTTTACACCCCGTATTCTAGACACAATCTGTTTCAGCTTGCCCAGGTTAGTCTCGATTTTGCATTTACTGGCAGTGGTTGATGTGGTGGAAGAGGGTGACCCAAGGTGCCTTCTCTGACTTCCTCCCTGAGCCGGGTTCCAGGCAGGCATCCTGCCCCTTGGTCTGCACTGTGCCCTTGCGTGTTGTCCTGTCTTCTGCAAGAGGTGACGCTGCCCTCGTACCCTCCTCAGTGTCTTTCTTTTCCCGGTCCTTGTCTCCCAGAGCTCGGGCAGTTCTCCATCAGCCTCTCCAGATCCCAGATTCCCTGCCTGTCCCTGAAGATCAAGCCTTTGTTCCCGCGATGGGGAGGAGTCGTGTTTCTGAGCATAACTTCGGCGGTGACATCTCTTCCACTCCCATTTCCTGCGAGGTTCCCCAGTGGGCGAGGACACTGCTTTCTGCCTCTTGTCCCCTGAAGGGTAATTCTGTAGATCTGCAGGAGACAGGGGAGGTGGGTCTGAATGCATTTCAGAAACGTGTTCTCCGTCTCTCTGAGATAGAACCACCTGTGAGTGCACAACTTCATGATGTCTCTCCAATCCTGGAAAAAGAAACTTCAGGGAAAATTCAAATAGGAATTCCCAACAATGTGACCACTGGAAAATTTAAACTATATTCTCTTTACCAAATCCGGCTTCCAGCAATCCAGTGCCCATGTCCGGTATACTCTTGTCCCAACCCACATGCCGTCTGGTGGACCGTGCCTAATAAGCTAATGCTCTGGTCCTGTTTCTCCCTGCAAGTACTGGTCTCTCTGCAGATTTCAGATTTGCTGGCTGTCATGTAATTTCCATTGTCTGAAATATTAAATAAAATGTGCTGATCAACAGCTCGTGCAGGTGTGCTGATGTGAATGATGATGTTGCTATTGTTGTTCATGTAAAAAGAAGAAGAGCTGTTTTCTCAGCTGCCTCCTACTCCCAGGTGAAGAGAAGCTTTATCCTTAATGGTATAGAATTGGACACAAAGCCAACATCAATCAGTAGCTTAATAAATAAGCATTTTTTTGTAAATGATCCATTAGAACACTCCATCATTAACCGCAATGACTGTCTCACGCACACTGCAGCGTGGCTGCATCCACAGTATGTGCTCTGAGTAAAATAAGCAAAAAGGAAACTGCTACCTGATTCCACTATTATAAATTCTAGAAAGTGCAAAGTGAAGTAACATGAACTATATTAGCAGGTGCCTGGGTAAAGGGAGGGAGGGGGAAGAGGAAAACAGGAGGAATATTAGAAGGACAAGTGGAAACATTGAAGGAAATCAATTTTCTCAATATCGCAGACAGGGTGACGGTGAAGTTAATACCTTTAATTTGTACAGTTAAAATATGTTAAGGAAACTGTACATCAACTATACATCATTAAATATGAACAATTAATAGATGATTTCTTAGGGAAGAAGTGATGGACAATTAGGTAAAAATAAGAGAAACATTAAGTACTTGAAAATGCTTCTGCATTGACCCCGTGGGTTCCAAATATTTTGCACATATTATTTAAGTAAAAACAAGAAGGCAAAAAGTTGCTTTATATTCTTATTACAGAATCAAGGTTCTAAAAAACACCCTGGTCTGAAGTGGGTTCCAGAGATGAGATTATAGGTCTAGACACTGAGCCCAAATCTTCCTGGATATGTGTTTCTGGACATACCACACAACATCTATATGCATCTAGGGTCATGTTTACGTCTGTAAAATACATGAAACATTGACACCTACAGCACATGTTTTATGTGTCTCTGTAAATTAGACAAGTGAACAGGAGTTAATAATTTATCACAGAACAGTTATGCAGTTTTTCTCTGGTCTTTCCCTACCACAGGAATCCCCACCCAGAGCTTGCTATATAGCAGGGGACATGCAAATAGGGCCCTCCCTCTGCCTGCAGCTCTGGGAGAGGAGCCCCAGCCCCAGCATTCCCAGGTGTCCCCATTCGGTGATCAGGACTCAACACAGAGACTCACCATGGAGTCTGGGCTCAGCTGGGTTTTCCTTGTTGCTCTGTTACAAGGTAATTCATGGAGAACTAGAGATATTGGGTGTGAGTGGATGTGAGTGAGAGAAACAGGGGTGTGTGTGGCAGTTTCTGACCAGGATGTGTCTGTGTTTGCAGGTGTCCAGTGTGAGGTGCAGCTGGTGGAGTCTGGGGGAGGCTTGGTCCAGCCTGGGGGGTCCCTGCGACTCTCCTGTGTAGCCTCCGGGTTCACCTTCAGCAGCTACGTGATGTACTGGTTCCGCCAGTCTCCAGGGAAGGGGCTGGAGTGGGTCTCAAGAATTAGTAGCAGTGGTGGTAGCACAAGCTACGCAGACGCCCTGAAGGGCCGGATCACCATCTCCAGAGACAACAGCAAGAACACGCTGTCTCTGCAAATGAACAGTCTGAGAGCCGAGGACACGGCCGTGTACTACTGTGCGATATACACAGTGAGGGGACATCAGTGTGAGCCCAGACACAAACCTGCTCTGGGGGCTCGTGGCCGCCGGGTGGCGCGCATTGCACAAGGAGCAGAGTCAGCCCAGGGCAGGTGCAGGTGGAGGGTAAGGGCTGGTTTCCCCTCAGGGTCGTGGTTTCCTCTGCATAAAACCGTTTCCTCTGGGAAACTTCTCTGAATTCATGATTCTGTGCTTCCCTCTGCCGTCTCTGAGTTAGACATGTTTGTGGTCATGAGAGAAAATATTCTCACCTGCACGAAAGGCAGAGAGTGGCTTCCAGTCCCTTTTTCCTGCCCCCAAATGTACGTTAATTATCAGCACTTCTGAATAAGTGGGAAAATCAATAACAGATTTTGTCTTGGACAACACAATGCAGCACAGCACACTGAAGTGAACGTTCCTTCTGGCCAGCAAGCAAGATAAGGTTTCTATGGGACATCCCTCCCTGAGGGCACAGGGAGTCAGCGTCCTAAGCAAGAAAAGGAAGACCCCGTAGTGGTCAGTGTCCCAGCACCAGGCTCACAATATCGATTATATCTGACAGAATTCAAGGGCAGGGGGACCCCACCAACATTTAGTGTAGATGTTGACTCTGATGGTGTTACACACATGCACACACACACACACACACACACTAAATGAACACGGGAAGGGTTACTCCCTCCATTACTGAGGTGTCTGCAGAGCAGGGCAGGCCTCTCAAGAGAGTCCCATTGGCTTCGCTGGGCAGGAAGGGAGACTGGATCAGGTTTTCACAACAGTTCCCTGGTGGGCAGGGAGGGGGCTCTCACTCATAGAAAGGGTCTGGTGGGGTCTGGACCTCTGACAGCCATCTCGAGAGAAAGCACCTGTGATTCCTTCCTAGAATTCCCATGAGTGGGACAAACAGGAAAGATGAAGGATGGGCCTTAAGATGTCAGTGGGCAGACATCAGCTAAGACACTCAGAGTCTTACTGCACTCAACTACTCAGTTGGATGGGGAGTGAGCTGTGTGGGAGAAGGGCACTCTTGTAGCCTGGTCTTGGGTGTGCCAAACCCATTATATGTAACCAAAATATTTGTACACCTATAATATTGTGAAGTAAAAAAATAAATATTTTGGATGAGGAATATGCTGGTTTTGTTAACTTATCAATATGCAAGGTATACATATATGAAAACGCATTTTGTGAGATTAAATATATGCATTATTTGTCAATTAAAATAAAGTTTTTAAATGTAACAGTACAAAAAACCCACCCAGGTTCATTTCCTTTTATGCAAATC